TGCCCTGTCGCGCTAACTAGTCCAGTGTGACAAACAAACTTTCTCCCCTGTATTCATTTCGTCTGACGACGGGTTGGTGTCACCAGCTCGAAAATTCACGAGTACAACTCGATTTTTCCGAAGAACCTCTTCCTGTTTTCATATATATATATATATATTTAGAAAGGTGAAGTTCTTTGGGAAACAGCAAAATTTTATTGTGAATTTTCGAGACTGGTTCTCCAGCTCGTCTTCAGACAACGGGCGTGCAGAAGCAATTAACTTCTAGACTGAGTCTAGCAAAAGGAGTCCATGATTGGTTAAGGTTGTCATCTCGGGATTGGCTGACTCAGTTTGAATCTGTCCTTAACGATTTTGTATGTGGCATCTAAATCGATATGCCGGTTGATGCATGCCTCATCTGAGTGCATTGCCTCCAGGAATTCGCGGCCTTTTCTTATTTGGCAGGCGCCAACAATGCGAGTGTTCTCCCATGCGAATTTATGCCCAGTGTCTAGTGTGTGCATGGCCACCTGGGATAGATGGTCGCGTCTCTTCACCGCTAACTGATGCTCATGTATACGGGTTGAGACAGATTTCCCAGTTTGACCACAATAAACGGCATCACAGCTAGAACACGGGATTTTGTAGACGACGCCTTTTCTTTCGAGGTAGCCGACCCTGCCCTTAGGGTGCACAAGCTGTGTGCGTAAGGTAGTTTCCGGCTGGTATGCTACGTGTATCTGGTACTTTTTCAATTGTCTTTCGACAAGTTTAGATACATTTTTGACGTATGGGAGAGTTCGCCATGTGGTTGGTTTTGGTGCCTGAGTGGCCGTAGCATTGGAAATACCTTTTCCCTTGAGTTGTTGGTGCCTCATGCATTGACGTATAAAGTCATGCGGGTACCCATTTTGGGAGAACAGTTTGTAGAGGTATTTCATTTCTGCTCGATAACTTGTTTCGTCAGAGCAGTGGGTTTTGGCTCGATTCAGGAGGCTGTAGACTGTGCCCTGTTTGTGAGAGACAGGGTGGTTACTCTCAAAGTGTAGGATGACCTCTGAATACGCCTCTTTGCGATAAACTGATATCTGAAGACGAGCTGGGGAACCAGTCTCGAAAATTCACAATGAAATTTTGCTGTTTCCCAAAGAACTTCACCTTTCTAATTATATTTCTTGGGATGCCTGTTTTTCAATTCATTATAAATATAGAATGACAGAGAATGACAGGTGGCGAGGCACTGATGAACTTCGGTTCGATGAAGTGCTTATGACCCATCTGGTAGGCCTCAGTGGTCGACCGACTGCGCCAGGTGCGTCTGTGCGCATGTTTGTGTTTCTGGTCTCAGCTGCTGGTGGTCAGGGTTATGATTGGCTGAATGAAGGCAGAATAAGCCCGAAACAGTGCTGTATCAATCTACCCGCATTCTCTGTCGTCCCTCCTCACTGCTATTATGACTTGGTCGACTTCGGCCTGGTAATTGGTTGCCTGTTCGTGACCTTTGCCACACATACGGAGCTTGTTTGCTTGATATATATATATATATAATATATATATAATATAAATAATATAAATAATAATATAAATATATAATATAATATATATGTATAATATGTATAATATAAATAATAATATAAATATATAATATATATATGTTGAAGTTAAAGGCGTTCTTTGGGAAAATGAACTTTATTGCGTAAATTTTCGACGCCGGTTCCCCAGGTCGTCGTCAGACGCAGACTGAGAGTAAATGTGCCGACAACAGTTAACATCTGGCAGCGCACGTGGAAAAAATCGATAATCGTTCGCGTTTGCGCCCGTGAGCGGCCGCTATTTGCGTCATTCTGTGCCGATCGGCTCTCGTCTCTTCCATTTCTCCTTGAGACTTTTGTACGCGGCGTCCAACTCGATGTGACGGTTGATGCACGATTCATCCGAGTGCATGGCCTCAAGGAACTCTCGGCATTTCTTGAAGGGGCAGGCGCCGACAATCCGTGTTCTGTCCCAAGCAAACGTATGCCCCGTTTCCAGGGTATGCATGGCTACTTGAGACAGATGGTCTCGCCTCTTTACTGCAAGTTTGTGTTTGTGAATGCGTGTAGAGGCGGATTTTCCTGTTTGACCACAATAAACTGCATCACAGGCCCCACACGGGATCTTATAGACTACTTCCTTCCTATCCAAATAGCCGACCCTATCCTTAGGGTGTACTATCTGAGTACGTAATGTAGTCGTTGGTCTGTGTGCCACCAGAATTTGGTGCTTCTTTAGGCGCCTTTCCACGAGTTCAGACACGTTTTTGATATAAGGGAGAGTTCGCCATGTATTTGACTTGGGTGCCTGGCTGGAAGTTCTTTGTTCCGTTTCTTTTGACTTTTTCTGTCTCATGCATCGGCGCACAAAATTCTTGGGGTACCCATTTCGAGAAAATAATTCACACAAGTAACTTAGTTCGGCTCGGTAGCCTTCTTCGTCCGAGCAGTGTGTTTTTGCCCGATTAAGCAGACAGTTGACCGTACCCCGTTTGTGGGAAATGGGATGGTTGCTCTCGTAGTGTAGAATGACTTCCGCATAGGTTTGTTTGCGGTACACCGATGTGCGCAGCGTTCCGTCGGTCTTCCGCTGCACAAGAACATCCAAAAATGGGAGTTTTTTGTCAACTTCTTTCTCGAGTGTGAATTTAATCCCCGGCATTGTTGAGTTAATGGTGTTGTGGAGCGTTTCTAGTTGATCCTTTTTAACGATCACAAATGTGTCGTCCACGTATCGCAACCACAATTTAGGATTAACTAGCGGAAGAGCCGTGGCTTCCAGTTTCTGCGTTGTGATCTCGGCAAGGAAGCCAGAGATAGGTGACCCCATTGGGGCTCCCTTCAGTTGTTGGTAGTACTGTTGGTCGAACGAAAAATTGGTTTCCATACACAGGTCTAAGAGCTCGAGTAAGGCAATAGCGGGAACATCCGTGTCACAGGATTGCAGGAGATCCTCTGTGCACTGTTTCGCCAATTCTAACGGTATGGACGTGAAGAGGGAGACAACATCGAAGGACACCATGATCTCGTCAGAGGAAACTGTGATTCCTTTTAATTTCTTTAGAAACTCTGGAGAGTTCTCAATCGACGTTTCACAGTTCCTAGTAAGTGGATGAAGTTTGTGGAATAGCCACTTTGAAATTTTGTAGTTGGGTGCCCCGATTAGCGATACTATCGGTCGTAACGGCACTTCAGCTTTGTGGACTTTGGGTAGTCCATAGATCCTAGCAATGGTGGGTTCAGTTTGTTTCAAGTGCTTAGCTATTTCTCCCGACAGATGCTTTTTCCCCGTGAGGCGCTTCAACACTTTATCAATAGATGTGGTCTGTGCTTTGGTAGGATCCGCAGAAAGTGGTTTATAAGTCGATCCATCTTCTAACAATGATAGCATCTTTGCATTGTAGTCCGCTTTGTTCAAAATCGCAACGGAGCCACCTTTGTCACCTGGGAGAACGATAATATTTTTGTCAGTTCTCAGGGATCTCAACGCTTGCTGTTCTTCACGTGATAGTACTGTAAACTGATTTCGGTCTTTCAAGGCGTTTACAGTAGTGTTTCCGATTGTAAATCTTTCCTCAAGAAAGGCCGAGAGTTCCTTGAGGCCATGCACTCGGATGAATCGTGCATCAACCGTCACATCGAGTTGGACGCCGCGTACAAAAGTCTCAAGGAGAAATGGAAGAGACGAGAGCCAATCGGCACAGAATGACGCAAATAGCGGCCGCTCACGGGCACAAACGCGAACGATTTTCGATTTTTTCCACGTGCGCTGCCAGATGTTAACTGTTGTCGGCACATTTACTCTAAGTCTGCGTCTGACGACGACCTGGGGAACCGGCGTCGAAAATTTACGCAATAAAGTTCATTTTCCCAAAGAACGCCTTTAACTTCAACTTATATTTCTTGGGATGCCTACGTTTCAATAATATATATATATATATATATATTAAAGATATTATACCGTACTCCCGACATAGATACTTGTTAGAAGCCCAGACACGTGTTTCGCCGATATTCTGCCGCTGCGTGACACAGCTGCGAGGGTTTCGGCTCTTCAGTGGGACCCCCAGCGTTCTTTAGCGGTTTCTGGTATATGAACTCCAGAGAATAATCAGGTGAATAATTTCAGAAATTAATCAGTGCAGGACTTGGAGTTAAATCTCCGGGACATGACTTTTTAGGGTCAGAACCGAAATTTCAATGAACATTTGAGTCGAAGACAATCAACTACTGTGGAATAACCACGTAATGCCCATTCTACAAACAAGTAGTACTACGAGTAATATGAATTCCATATGGTAAAGGTATTATACCGTACTCCCGACATAGATACTTGTTAAAAGCCCAGACACGTGTTTTGCCGATATTCTGCCGCTGCGTGACACAGCTGCAAGGGGTTCGGCTCTTCAGTGGGACCCACAGCGTTCTCTAGCGGTTTCTGGTATATGAACTCCAGAGAATAATCGGGTGAATAATTTCGGAAATTAATCAGTGCAGGACTTGGAGTTAAATCTCCGGGACATGACTTTATATATATATATATATATATATATATATATATATATATATATATGATATTACCGACAAAGACAAGGGAGACTGGAATGGCCATTTCTGGCTTATTAGCCGTCGTCAGCCAGCCATACCCAAGCCCGAAGTGTGGAACACCCGAGCCTCGAACTCGCGACCTGTTGGTTTAGAGTCCATAAGGTACAACGGAACGAGTGAGTTCCGTATGAACGATCGGTGAGCGCCCCCTAACACATATATATATATATATATCAACATGAGTAAAGATTCGAGGTCCTGATAAATTATCCCGTTCATCATCCCCAAAAGAAGACGAAGAAGAAAAAGGGGCGATTGCATGGACCACAGTGTATTGGTGCTGACGTTTCGGAAACATCCTCGTTTCCATCATCAGAGTGGTGTGGTGTCTGTTCCTGCTTGCTCGAAGTTGTTCTGCCTCGCCGCCTGTCTTGTGTTATAAGCATGCCTGACGCACGAACTCTGACCTGCCTTCTGGCTGGGGATTGGCTTTGGTTCCTCCGCGGGCGGCCAATGATGGCTAGGCTGGTGCTCGAAAGCTGGTCCTCAGTTGGCACAATCAACAGGGCTATTGATCTTCATCCGGCCTACCAGGCGCTGCGTACAAGACTCCAGTCAGTCCAGACGGGGCCGACAGTACTGGCGAGCGAGTCGCGGCTCCTCCAACAGTTGTCACCTTTACAGCAGGGGGAAGGAGCCAGCCGGAGGTCACACGACGAACGCGAGACATCGCCCCACCGGCGCGCCCAGACAGCCGAGCGTGATTCGCACATGCAACGGCAACTGATCAGTCCATCCGATTATGAGGTGAGGGCCCATGGGCACACAGGACTGGCAGCGATTACGACAGCCGGTCAGGGGGCAGAGGTCACAGGAGCGCGTCATTGGCCGCCCGCGGAGGAACCAAAGCCAATCCCCAGCCAGAAGGCAGGTCAGAGTTCGTGCGTCAGGCATGCTTATAACACAAGACAGGCGGCGAGGCAGAACAACTTCGAGCAAGCAGGAACAGACACCACACCACTCTGATGATGGAAACGAGGATGTTTCCGAAACGTCAGCACCAATACACTGTGGTCCATGCAATCGCCCCTTTTTCTTCTTCGTCTTCTTTTGGGGATGATGAACGGGATATATATATATATAATACGAAGCGTCATTTTGCGAGCAATGGCTCTGACTGGGGCCATCTTGTTTATAACAGATTTGACATTCAGTTATGTAATATCCAATGTATTTCGAACAGAAACGTTATGGGTAACGGTATTTAGAAAGAAAAATGGAGGTGGATATGTGAGCTGTGAATTAATGTTATATTGGGAATAAGTGCCAATGAGTCTAGAGTTGTTGGCGTACAGGGAGTCAGCAGGAGAAGGCAGAGCGGGAGGCCTAAAAGATGCGGGGATATAGTCTTCGGAAATTGGAATGCTAAGGGAACTGGAACAGGGATATGCTTGCTGGTAGTCTACTTGTGAAGAAGAAGAAGAAAAAAAAGAAAAAGAAAAAGAAGAATGAGAACGAGGAGGAGTGGTGGATGAAGATGAGGAGTAAGAGGAACGTGTCTAGAAGGAAAGGAGAGACTAGTGGGAGTGTTTAGGCAGCTACAATAATTAAAGAATTGAAACTAGGTCTAGGTTGGAAGTCAAAGCAGTTAGGTTGACTTACTTGTGGGCAGTTGGCCTTGAGTAGTAGGAAGTCCGAATAAGGTCGGAGGATGAATAACTGGGGGGAGTCATATGTGAACTATCTAGAGGATGGAGAGTATGGCTTTGGTATTAATCCAGTATGCAGGACGGAGAATTATTTGGGGGTATAATTGGGGCTACGGGGTTTATAGACAGGGTCTGCTGTAAAGAATTCATAGATCTAAGATGAGGCTGGATACCACTGAATGGAGTTATGCCACCTTTCATTTGGGTCAGAATCGGAGTCCACTTTTGGATCACATAGTTCTAAAGCCATGCCGCAGGTGACTTAAATAGAAAAAGCGGAGGACCCTGTCGAAGTGGGGAAGCTATCTGTCCACCTGATATATGTGAGCTGTGAATTAATGTTATATTGGAAATAAGTGCCAATGAGTCTAAAACGAACCAGCGCGCGTTTCGAATTTGGTTTCAAATTTTCGTCCACCGAGGGGTTGATATTCTTCGAGATTTCCGCACTCTGGATGCTCCTGTAGTCAAACGGATTTTAGAAAATTGAATAACAGACAGCAATATTCGCATCGTCATCAAGTTACGACACCACCTTTGCAGAACGTGGACTTCGACACTACCAGTTCTGCATACCAGCCTAAAAAGACCAATCTTCCAGCAAACGAAACGCTTAGAACAACTTCTACAAAGGCTGAGTCTCACTTCGAAATTAGACTTTAGCTGTACCTTTGCTTCAAAGCATTAGCTTAAATTTCTGCTAACTGAAGTACGGTTAAATTCGACTAGGTTTCTGTTGTCTGAAGTCTCGAAGCATTCGCTTAGATTTCCGTTGCCTAAAGCTTCCCAGACATCTAAAAGCCTTAGGCCTTCTTTTGATTGTGTCTGTCTTCTGCTGCCAACCTTTCGGCCGTTGTTGTATCCTTGACTTTGGCACATTGAGACATGGGAGATGTAGAAGTGTACGATCCATCAGTCCCGCGGGATGAAAAAAGGCGTGAGAGCAGGCATCGAACCTCCGACCATCGCCTCACGAGGCGAACGCCTAGACCCCTCGGCCATCGGCACCGATGGGATAACTTACAAGAATATTAATTGCATTAGCCCCACGGTTGGGGAATGTGTCCGATTTTGCCATGAACATAGTGCACTAGCAACTCCATGCGGACTAGCGTTGATTCACGTCGGGCAGAGAGGATCTAACGAATGCAGTGCGCCAGAAGTGGTTCAAAACAGGACGGAGGTGGCCCGCAACGCAAATTATCCCGGGAAATTCGCTACGACTACGCAAGATTTTCTACCAGATGATGAACCTTCATATTGTGGTACGCGGTGTAAATATTGTCGAGATCTCGCGTTAAACATTACGTCGTTGGAGACGAACATGAACCTCCTTATAGATCTCATTGCATTGTTACTAAAGTATGATAAATTCAGGTCAATTGATGAATTCAGCAGCAGCCAACAGATAGTTTCGAAACTGACAGAGTTGACTAACAGCAACCCACTAGTAGAGGGAGCACCGTTTCAGGGGATCTCTGGCTGCAGAAATAAACAGAGTGCTAAGAGAAAAGGTAAACGGAAACATGAACATACAGCCTCACCCTCACCAACAGCGATGATAAACGACACTCCAAAATCGCAAACTAAGTTGCGAAGTGATAATGGCAGTACACTCTCATCATTGATAACTACCCAGCTGAAGAACAATGACCAGCTCACTGGCAGAGTAGAAGCTGTCCGATCTCCACCACAGAAGAAGGTAAAAGGATTCGACATAGAAAAGACTACCGCATGGACGGAAACCTCAGAGGAAATCGCGGAG